CAGTCCTGCCTGAAAAAATGCGTGATGCAAAAATAGCAACAGTTGTCAAAAAAAAAAAAATCCTAGCGATAGAGAAGGCAACCCAATGCCAACAAATCAAGGTCCGAAAACCTGGACTCTCAAATTCAACTTATCCAAATGAACTTATGTCTCTCGAATCTCATGTTCGCAAGAATCCATTACCTTTTCGCTCATTCCAAATGCTTTCACCATTTGCACAGCCAACATCGAGGCCTTCTTCAAATCATCGGCAGCACCAGTAGTAACCTGAAGCATGAATCGCGATCACGTTTAAAGGTAGGTCTTCATGAAATAACACCAAGAACTAATTGACTCATTTAGCATCATATTCAAGCTCACCATATCATCACCAAAGATGAGTTCCTCTGCAACCCTTCCCCCCATCATAACATCTAAGGCAGCAAGTATTTGGCCTTTCGTCATTTGATATTCGTCCTTTTCGGGTAACATCGCAGTGTGACCGAGTGATTGACCACGTGGGATTATGGTAACCTAAACAGGTTCGACTTTTCCTTAGCAATCAGAATTCAAGATGAACTCATGTTGAGTACAGTATACCGCACCTTGTGGAGAGGCGTTGCATGTTTTGTATACAGAGACACAAGGGTATGTCCAGCTTCGTGGAAGGCGGTATTCCTATTTGCTTCTTCATCTGGTATTCGACCTCCAGTGCGAGCGGGACCCATGAGTACTCTAAAATTGAAAGGCACCATTAAAAAAGTGAACCTTACATGAGCAAACTCTTACCTATCTCTGGCCTCGTCCAGATGAGCCATCGTAACCTCTGGTGCAGATTCCGTGGCCGCCTTTAGAGCCGCTTGATTGACCATGTTTTCAATATCAGCCCCCGTGAAGCCCGTGGAACCCTAATTCAAACAAATTATTTAAAGGCCTTTTCTGACCAGGATATAATCCCATCGCAACAAATCTTTCGAAAGCCTCACTTTGGCTAATGTTTTGGGATCGACAAGTGGAGAATGTACAATCTTTCCCAAGTAGAAATTGAAAATGTCCACACGGCCAGCCAGATCTGGTTTTGGAACAGTTACTCGTACATCGAAACGACCAGGGCGAAGTAGAGCCTGTATGTAGTAAGTACAGCAACGACAAATATCTAGGTTTTCGGTAGTATTACCTTATCCAAATCATCTACGCGGTTCGTCGCTGCAATCACTATGACACCTTCGTTCCTGTTGAAACCATCCATTTCGCTGAAAAAGTGCACTGCTACGTTAAAATTATCCTTTATAAAACTCGAAACAAATTTGAATTGGGTTCAATCCTAAATCTTAATATGTAGAAGACTATACTTTGCAGCAAGTTCTCAAAAAAGTGAACTAAATTAAATTTGTAAACAAAGAATAAATAGCTAATTAGAAACCTGAGAAGCTGATTAATCGTCTGATTTGCATATGGATGTATACTGTTGGAGACTCGCTTGGATCCAACGCTATCGATTTCGTCGATGAAAATTATGCATGGCGACCTGTAAAAAAGCCCGAATTCGTAGGAACAGCGCGCGACAGTGTCGAACTAGGTATGAAAAAAGATGAATTCAAAAATTTGGCGCCACGAACCTTGCTTTGGCCTTGTCAAATAGATCGCGTACTCTGCGGGCTCCTTGACCGACTAAAACTTCGTCGAATTCCGAGCCAGATGTGTGGAAAAAGGGGACCTTGAGTACGAATGATAGAAGGAGAATACTAATGTGATCCGGTTTACTCACCTGTGCTTCACCAGCAATAGCTCTCGCAAGAAGAGTCTTGCCAGTCCCAGGAGGTCCCACTAACAATACACCCTTTGGAAGTCGGCCTCCAAGACGAGAGTACTTGTCCGGATCACGTAGGTAATCTACAATTTCTTCGACTTCTTGCTTTGCTTCGTCCATCTGAAAATTGACTTTCATCTGACTCAATTCTCCGCAGTGTAACAAAAGGTATAAGCCGATTTTAAACTTCTAAAATTTACTATCATGTAATTGTACACCTATTCGAATATCATCAGAATACAAATGTAAAAACGTTGACGTGAAACTTGATTTTGCAAAAGTCTTGAACAAAAAACAAAAAGTATTAAACAAGAAGTCGTATCTTCTGGCCAATTCAAGCTTGGAGCCCTACTGGGAATAAAACTGCTAGACTTACGCCTCGTACGTCGTCGAAAGTGACTTGAACGTCCTCTGGTTTCACCTCCTGAGTGTTGGAGAAGAAGAGCGAACCAAATTGGCGATCGCCTATTCGAACACGAATAGCTAGAGAAACTTTTAGCTACACGAAGAGAAGAAAGAAATAATGTAACCAATGATCATATAATAATAATAGAAGCAAATAGAGTAAAAATCAACAAAATTAATATCATGAGGTCGTAAAAAAGCCAGTCTGCCGCAAATAGAATAAAACGAACCGCCAGTCAAATATCCGAGGAATATGCACGCTACCAAGAAGATGTAAAAACGAGTGAGAGTATTCGACTTCTTCGTAGGTGAGGCGCCTTGAGATTTTGAAGCCAGAAGACCTTTCACGAATCCCTCCTTAACAGAAATGGGTTTATGCGCTTCATTGACTTGATACTATAAACAAACAGCTACATTAACTGCTGCGAAAATGTTACACATCAAGTGATCACTATCAAATTCACACCGAAAAGCAGCTTTGGGCACTGAATGCTAACAAAAATGTAATTAACCGATAAAGTAGATGTCTTTATCAATCGATTTAGCAGTAGCTTACAGTGTAAGTTTTTTGTTGTGCCTCGGGCAACTTTTTTAGCTCAGAGTCGTACTGATTCCATCCATCGATCGTATCTTCTTTGTTTTTCTTTGTTACACCAAGCATGTCAGTAAAGATGTTCCATCTAGAAATAGAACTTGAAAAAAATTGCTACAACGCTCAGTTTGGGTTGAACTCACTTGGCTTTATCACGGTCAGATTTTGATCCAATTCCGCCACTTCCACTTCCTATACCTCCAGCTCGCCTTGTACGGAACCCCCGCTCTTGGATATCTGAAAACAGACAACAAACCTGAAAAAATTCATGTTCAGATGAAAGAGACCGCAGTGGGTAAATGGACAACTCGACCGTTTATTAGCAGTGCGAGCAAAAATAAGTTTTTTTTACATTAAAAAACTTGGGGCGATAGAGGGGAAAACCCTTTGAAGCAGTAAGCGATAATAATATTTGAAGTGTTATTATAAAACCTTGATAAAAGAAATAATATACTCTCGCTTCCAACAAAAACGACGAATGAGAAACTCGAAATTTCTTCAATTTAGAGCAGTCGTGAAATTTCGACCAATGGAACAAAGCTTTGCATAAGTGGAAAAGAATAATAATATTTGATTTTAATAACTCACACATCGCTCCTGTGCTAGGAATAACGGATAAAGTGATTTGACCATTCAGGGTAATATTAAAACGATTGCGACGAATAGCACGGCGGCATACAAATGGGATCGGGTGATCTGAAGAATCTCCACCAAATCAAAAATGTCAGCAAAAAAATGGTGCAAGACAAACACGAAATGCAACCTAAGAGTTTTTTGATATGATCCCTGCCAATTTCATTGACTACGGCCGAGTAAGAATTGGGAAGACAAAGATGACCAGTAAATCTTCTTAAGACTGAAATAACAGCAAAATGAATATAAAATAAGCTGGAGCAGCTGCATCCACCTACTTGAATGGATGTAAAAAGAAATACGTGGTGACATACTAAAATTTGATTCGACCCACTTACCACTGCGTCGCTGTGATGGCCCAATCTGAAGATTACATCCAAAACCGCCCCACGCTCCCACCCCGTGTAATGACTGCATCCTAAAAACATTGAAATCAGACACTACGCTAAGATTTTACTTGAAAACGTTTCGCAATTCGGCATATACACAACAAGCTATGAAGAGATTAGGCAAAATGATGAAAAGATAACAACTTAAACGGTAGCGGTATCCCCCAAGATCGCCTTCCTGTACACACAATATTTTCGAAAGACGAAGAACAATATGCTACCGTTCTAGTAAACACAATTTACCTATGTTACTGGCTAAAGCAAACAACTCGGCCTGACATTCTGCTGGCTTCCAGCAAAAGCATAGGCACCAATCAGCAATCCCATAGAACGGAATGTTTTTGTTTAAATTTGATCAGAAAAAGTTATTCAGTGTCGTGCTCATGATATGACAACTATTCTTGACAACTTACAAGTGATTTGGTCGGAAGTGCCGGCTTCGCTCTACGACACTTCCAACCAAATCACTTGTAAGTTTACATTTTGAGAAGATATAGGGCTATGTAAATGAATTTGTGTGAAGCAAGCAAGCAGTGACATGAATACTCATATTTTGACTCTCAAAAGGGGTCGTTTGTTAAGGAAATGAAAAATGCTATACTGACGAAGTCATGAAGATTAATGATTATCCGGACAGGGAATAATCGCGAGGAAATCCTAAGCCGAGATTGTAAACGTCAATCAACAACTTGAAAAACCAACTCGTTTAATATAAGTTGGCATTTGAGTCTTGAGAATGACAAATTATTCATTTTGGTGTATCTGTGTGGCCGAGTTCAAAAGTGAGCTTCAATGGGAAGCATATAAAGCACCCGAAGTTTGCTCATGCCAACAAGAACGCGAATGACGTATGGCGGTGGAAAATCGATAATTAGAGCACCACGTAAACTACGTCATTCCCTTCAATCACATGACACCTCAACATCCAAACTTCGGCCCTCGACCTTCAGTCCTTTGGACTTTGGAATACATTTTTAACGCCCGACATCCTTTGTCCATGCTCCACTCCTCCCTATCAGGGCCAAGTCACTGATACCGATCCGATGCCAGCGCGATGAACGGAAATAGGACATCACAAACGTAAAAACATCCAATTTTTAAGGCGGTCATTGATGGACCAGAGGACAGATGTAAAATCTGGAAAATATTCCGCGGCTGCGATAATGTTTTGAATTCGAGCACATTATTTTCACTTGAATCGAAAACTTTTCCCCGCGAATGAAGAAATCTCACAATCAAAAATCAATAACCTTCTTTGGATTATTTTCACGTATGCTGGACAGCCCGAGCACTAGGCGCGAGGTTTACTTCGAAATTGCATCTCAGAAGACATACGATTCGGTAGTTGAGGAAGAAGTGAAAAAGATGAGACAACAAATTGATAGAAGTACCATGAAGAGGAAATATGCGAATGGAAGCCGAAGTCAAAAAATTCTAATCATTTTATAATTTCGAATATGACCACTGATACCCGATGGCTGGTCAACAATGAAACTTTAAAACTATCAACTTTTAGATGCAACCTCTTCACACTGTTTCAACAAGCATCCAAATATGTCCTCAATCTTAGGACAAATTTGTGTTCCACTTCAAGGAGACGAGCTGAATAAGATGACTATGACCTCCGCCAATCCGAAAGCGGTAGTAAGAGAAAGTCTCTCTTATTTATAAAACAGTAACTTGGTGTGTCGGTTTTGTGGGATTGCCGGTTTGTGAGTCTGTCCGTGGGTGGGTTAACGAATGGAGTTGAGTAAGTACTGCGGAGTGAAGTGAGAAGCGTGAAGTGGATATTTCAAGGCTTTGATTTCGATGTGTACTGGTATTGTGCTGTGTATTTCTACACAACAAGGTGAGTCAATTGAATACATAATTCGTACCCCATCTAAGCTTCCTGCACGGGGTAATCACCTCACCCTGGCACTCCTCCTATCCTCGAGTTTAGACGAAAAAATTATTCCTCTGCCTAGAACCACTCGAAGCACAGGTAAGGTCAGCTACCCCTTTTGCACTCAAGCCTGCAGCGTTGAATAAAACCAATGTCCTCCAACATTCCCCCCTCAACTACATTTTCCAACACTTTGTAAAACTAGGGAATAAGGCCCAGCGTAAGCTGGGCGACCCGACTGGTGCATCGTAAAGCACGAAAGCTGGTATTTTCAATAAGACGAGACTGAAGTGGATAGAAAAAAACGCGGTCATCGCGGTCAATGCTTCAAAGAGAGTCTAGACGGCAGCGATGTCGAAATTATGCACTTAACAAATTCCTGAGCAATGTGCGTTCAGCGGACGAAACAGTTGGCGGACTCCGATGAGGGAAGCTATTTATCTCCATACAGGCAACACCAAGTCAACTTTAAGTATTTCTAAACAATAAGCCTTTGAACAGCAGGACAGCTGAGTGGGCGAAGTGCTACATTATAAACATTTTATCGAGCCTCACAAATTACTACGCAACGATGTAGTAGTTGTGACAACTGTTACAACTGTCACCTCACTAGCCGTCGCTGTCGTCATCGCGTTGCACAAATCATGTGCTTGTAAGCTGACGAAAATCTAGAAAATAGAAATCTAGCACGAGTCATCTAACCACGGGATATCGGTCGACAGCCGACGCCAATGCAGGCGTCGTCGACGTCATTACTATGAATGCAGCGTTTCAGTAGCCAGCAGAAGACAATACAAAAGGTAACCAGTGTGACAACGGAAATAGGTCGGTAGAGCATACTCGAGAAAAAAAGCTTGAGCAATTCCCCTGACATGACGTAAAAAGAACTAGTATTGATCGCCGCTCGCGAGCCCTAGCGCCACGGCAACGGCATTGGGTCGATAACCGATCGATATTTTCGAATCGTGCACTAAAAAGGCTATCCTAACTACTAGAATGGGTGTATTCACAGCACCTGCATTTCTATGCAAAGTAGTGCGTTTTAAAGCATACATTTGCGTAGTAACGCACTAGTCTGCGTAAAAACGCGGGTACTATAAATGCGCCCTATCAACCTGTGAGTTAAAACACCAGGTGCAGAAACCAAACACGCAAGCCAATGCAGACGCTGATCAGGATTGAAAAATCAAGGAATCGTGAGTACGATATCCGTTATTAGCAGCAAATACGGAGAGAACTAGAAATGCGAAACAGATCAGCCCCAATAGGTATTAAGGGCTGGGAATGAGCTCTACGACTCCAATAATAACAGTAACGAAGGAATAAACGAACCGCTTCAACGTGCGAAACACGTTTCATAATAATGGTCAAGGAAAAAGTTAGCGCAAAAACATCGCAACAACATTAGTGCAATTGCGTACGACGAGGGTCTACAGTAAATTCACGCCTAAATTATTCCTTTTCTGTGCTCGACACGCAGCTCGCTCCCGAGACGATTTCCGTCTATTCAGTCGTTAGACCAACATTTAGCAAAGCTCAAACTAAGTGATTCCGCCTAGCACAGTTGTTGAAAACCAATACACAATAGACATAAAGGGAGTTTTCTAGTTCTACTTACGCATAAATAGTAAGTTGTAACGTCGAATAGTGAATGTAATATTTGCAGTCTTGAAAACTACGTTGGAACTTATGGGTGAATTTAAGTAGCATGAAAGTAAATGTCGCAGAATGCCTAACTGGGCTGAATGTTGGAAGTGGTAACCACAGTAACACTCATCAGTTCAAACATAAAACTCTACAGGATGAAACCAGTAGTTTAGTGAGACTGATGATCAATCGCCTCTTTCAGACTTTGTATTGATACCTGTACGACACGACGCGACAAGCTATGCGGAACGACTAATAGGCCGTCGGTGACGGGTATGGGATCCAAACGGCGTGTCGCGCTCACCGCGTACGGCTGCTTTCAGACCTCAACAATGCAACCGACATGGGTGTGTGTCGATTCGTGCGATTCTGGGTGCGCGCGGCAAGTTGCGCGGCAAAATCCATGGCGATTCGATTGACTCTGGCGTCCATTAATCGGGTACAAACTTGGAGTTAAACAGATTAGTAGTACAGCTGATACTACTAATCTATTCTACTTAAAATTTGGGCCCCAACAATGACCGCTGAAGTCGTTAAAATGGCTACGGATCTCTCAACAAATCTGGCTCTCAACACTTGTCTAGCGCTTGCACGCACGCGACGTACGCAAAGGACGGATGGACGCACTCGGTTGAATCGTTGAAGTCTAAAAGCAGCCTATCGCAGAAAAGCAATGGTTGATTAGAGCACGCAATGTACGAGTCATTTTTTATGGGTGGTTGCCTGGTGTTAGTTTGAGTTCCTTTATCATTATTTCCCTTTTGACTATCTATCACACGAACCCTCATATAAGGACACAAACGAATATTAAGAAATAATCAAAATTAAGCAGAAAAGCAAAGTAGACAATGAAAAAATGGAGCCCCATCGAAGCAGCAACAACAACGAACTGTCAACGAACTGTCAATGAACTTGTTGTATGACAAAAGCTTATTTTTGCGTACCGCAATTACGTCATATATACGAGGCATTGGCTGCTTTCAGAGTCCACCAGCCAGCCCCCCGAGCGCGCACGCGTGCCGTCCGACGGCGGCGCTGGCCACTTGTTGAAAGCACTGGCAGGCTGACTCTTAAAGCAGCCGTTGAAGGAAGGTTTTGAGTAAGGCGCAGGCGTACTGACTGGATGTATTTCTTTCCTTTTCGGCTCTTAGGGTGGCCTTAGCGTATAATTTCAAGATTATACGATAAGGCCACACTAAGAGCCGAATGTCGAATCTCCGTAATTCAGTTCTGAGCTTACTGAAGAAGAAAATCTGACGCTTGGGCAGCAATAGCGTCTGAATATCTCCACTCTGACGAAAACACTTAGGCGGATACCTGACGGAAAACACACCGCAGCGTGCAACACTCTTGAGAAAGGTACTTTTATGTATATGTATATAACATTATACTTACAACAAAACAGTTTTTATATTCACCTGGAAAATAGTGTGCTCCACGTTATATCGTGATGACAGTAAATCCCCAAGCAATACAATGCAGTGGCCTTCATAGGAGGAAAAATGAACATGGTAGCTCAATTGCCGTTAAAGCAATTATGGAATAACAGTAAGTATTTCACATCATATTGTAACAACAGATTATATAGGTATATGATGCAAAAACTTCAAAATAAAGAACTGAAGGTACACCGGCTACAAGAAATTATTCAGCGGATATAGTTTATATGGAGGTCGAATTTCGAGGATCTACTTTCAGACACAACGACAGCATTAGTTAGTTTTCAATGAAGAACTCGCTACAGCACAGATCAACTCCTAGAGATCCTAGAAGACTTATTCGATTCTGTTGATGGCTTAACAATGATTACAGATGTCGTGCTACAAATAATGAAAATTACCGAGGCCGTTGTAAAAGCTCTCGCCCACTATGAGAATCGCCAAGGCGGTCGTACTGGGCTCGCTCAGACTCTGTTAGTGAGCATACTAACAAAGGGGATAGATCCACTCCCTCATTGTCAGAAGCGTCGTCGGAATCTACTGATGGCATCTCCTGCCGCTTTCCCTGAAAAAAGGGTATCAAGATATATTCCATCTGCATCAAGGATAGGATCTATCTTTAGTCACGGATAAGTAAATGAATGCATGCGTTGCGCTGCTTCTGCATGGGTCAAAAAGCGTGGATAGCACAAAATGCACTGCCTACTTCGAAATATAATCGCTCCTCCGTTGCAAGGCGTAAATGTCTCTTCGCCACTGAATTCTCCAACCGTTCTATGCTACAGCATTCGAAAGGCACCTGGTGATTCGTCAACTCAGCAACTTCCCTTTGCGAAAGCTTCCGCCACCTTGGCACCTCAATATCCTGAAAAGACATTTCAAAAAATTCGTTTAGCCGCTTACATAAAACACTAACTCAATCAAGTCAGCGCGTAAATGAAAACCCACAGAATATTTTGGCATCTCCAATTTAACTTTGTAGTAAGAATCCAGACTTTCACTCGACTCCGAATCCGATTCCACTCCGCGCAAACGCCTTGCTCGTCGCCGTTGCTGAAACGAATATCCTTCGTCGAAGAAGAAAATCTTTTCTTTATTCTTACAAAGGACAAAAGCCAGAAAGCATAAAGCAAGCAAAATATCTACTTCATCAAAATCCACATACAGACATTCCTTGAAAGTCAAAATTACCCCCAATTTCCACATTTACCATGAACTAAATCAAATCTTTTCGGCACAACTCAATTTACGCATTCTAGCACGTCAAAAATTCTGAGCTCATGAAACCACTTTACTTTTAGAAACGTCAGAAACTTATAACTTTCTAGAACAAGCGTTACTATTTCTGAGTATTTAGGAAACCGTATCCATTAATAGTTTCATTTGCCCTGACTAGGAACGGATGGAGCCTAAAAGAGTGCAAAATCATCATAAAAGGCGGCGGATAGTTGTGCTACTACAAAGCTCCGTTGCTTCAAAAAAAAAAACTTCTGAGTGAACTATTAGGACAACCTAATCAAGCCCATTCATAAGCTGCACTACAGCTGTGTTGAGAGAAGTACAAGCATTATCAAATAGAGTTTGCTCGATATGTAGCAGTCCCTAACAAAAAAAAAAAGACTAGCCATGAAACTCGAAACTGGTGTACTGAAGCTTATGGATGGATCCATTGCTACAAAAAAGACCAGCTGCTACAGCGAGTAAATTCCCTTTAATAATGATAATAATGCTCACAACAATAAAAGATGAAAAACTCGGAAAGCAGTTCAGCAGGCTAAAATACAAATGATCCACTGATCATATGCTTTTTTTAACACATATAATCAAATGAATGAGCTAAGCCACTTTCAAACTGGAATTGTTTCTAATGGATTTTGCAGAGCAAATAAAAAACGAACATCTCAGGGTGCGCCAGGATGCCTGATTAAATCGAAAAGATATTTTGATGAATGGCGTAATCCTTCGGTGTCCGAGAGGGTGCGAGGTGAACCAGAACATTGAGGAATATTACGGAAGAGGGAGGAAAAAGAAGTTACCATCTGCTGTCCCTGCTGTGCCTTAATCTAGCTACATAGAATTGTAGTCTAGGTAGTCCAGATCTATGTAAAGGTGCCGTGCGTGGTAGAGATCTGTTCCCCACATTTTTCTATGTTGCTTATTATGAAAGTCTGGACAACTGAAGACCTTTGCCACAAGCAACTGTTGAAAATAGATTGCGAGAGGGCGAGTGAAGCCGTCCACCCGATGTCAAACGATTCCATAAGACTCGTAAAGCGCGGCGATTGTTAGTTCTTTGTGTTAACAATACTACTCAAACTCAACATTGAAGGCAGAAAATTTGAAACTCGCTTTTCACCATGAAATGCTTCGTAACACGAATGTAATTTGAGCAAATACGCGTTTGTGGTTGATAGGTCGAAATTACACTTTTCTTCGATCGAAACCTCACTGTAGGCGACAACAATACCCAAAAACCGGGTACGGATCAGGAGGCGCCAGAGAGGTCGTTACTTTGAAAAGTCACAAAGAACGGCGGTCCCATGTAGCTGTGTCAACACCTATAGCCCTGAAGTTACTCTAAGCATTCGATCTGCTGATATTTTTCCTACTATCCAGGGAATTGCCTGTATAGAAACCTTTAACACGACCACAACTGCAGCGAGAATGGCGGGGCTCAACCAATTGCTCGCGGTAACAATATGTATAATTTTTATAATATAATATGTAGTGCAAAAACGTTGGACAACTTGAGGGCTTAACACGACCAAGGTATCTATATGATGGCAGCTATCAACGGAAACATCTTACACATTAAATTACTTTCCGAACATACCCGTTATTCAAAAAAAAACCTATAATCTCATGATGTCTAATGTAATAAAGAAAGGAATATGTGATTAGTACCTTCTTTTTGTTTCTAGCTCTTCGAATCTCATGTCTTCGCTTTTCGCTGTACCCGCTAACTCTGTAGGACTGAAATATTCAGTTACAGCACTAATGGTTGATAGAATGATATGCAAAATAACATTAAATTTAACACCAATTCAACAAATTTCTATTCTTTTTCTATGACTACTGAAACTCTGCACGTGTGTAATCTAATCTTTTGCCCCATAAATAAATTTGGCACTAGCATCGTCGAAACAAGTTCGATTTTGCAGAGTGCAAACAAGCCAACTTGGAAATGTACCGCTACTCACCTTATCTTTTCGTTCTTCATCACTTTCTTCCATGGAGGATGATTCAGTTGATGAGATTGAACTTCGTTCGGTTAACCGTGCTCTCTTAGACTTCGATACATGCTGCGGACGTTCGACGTCATCAGCATCATCAAACTGCACCGGTGCACATCTCCGCCGTTCTTCAGAAATGGGATCTCTGTTCAGCCAGATGGGAAGGTCTATTCGAGATCGAATTGCAAATGGAGGTACCATTGAGATAATCCTTGCGTATGCCTCTATATAACGCAACGGTGGGCAGCTCACTGAAAACACTTTAGTAGTAACGTCTGCGTTACTGCGCTTCAATATGAATTTCTATAATAACGACTAACCTTGATCTAAATTCAAGCTGAAAGGACTGCAAGTTGAAAACGCTGGGTACTGCTGGAACACGCTCTCCGACCTGAATGTGAGAAATACCGCTTCGCTAGGAGAAAAGAATTGAGTAAAACGAACCGAAATTGGTAATTGTAACGCTGACGACGTCTCAGGCAGTAGCGTACATCCACTGGTCGAATTCTAGAGCATGATTGCGAATCAAATCCGGAAGAACACGATGGTACCTGTTCATCAACACAAAGGTACCCATCCAGATCTTCCACCTAAAAAAGTATGGTTGATTATTGGTTCTTCTAGTAGGAGAAGAGGGAATAAACCAGAAAATTTAACACAGACTTACAGCCAAGCGTAATTTTCCCTATCGGACAAACATAAAAGTTAAGAGAGCATAACTGAGGTTCAGGTTGATGAATCAAAAAATTGTTGCTAGAAAAATTAAGGCCTACATGGCGGGAACCACTCTCGATCTCCACTGCGTTTCTAGCCATCGCGGAGCTTACGGAAGCTTTGAAGTGGCCCCATTTTAGAGCGACCGAATCAAATCTAAAACTCTATCCAATGTGTCCTGATCAGCACGACAGTTTTTAAGTTGTTAAGCATTCAGAAAAAAAAAACACACTTCTCTTTAACTTCTACGTCGGAAAGGTCAGTGCTGTCGTCGCCTTCCATTAAGGATGAAGGTCTGTTTTGTCGCATTAAGAGAGTCTGCGTAGACCGTTTCTTCGAAGTTCTTGTCTCTTCTTCGCCATAGACCCGAGTGAGAACGTGTCGCGGGAGTTTTTCCTCAGCCACATTCTTTAGACGTCGAGCAGCCATAGCAAGCTGAGTTGGAGTTTGTGACTCGAACTGAAACCAAGTCAATCAGTAGGTAACAATCTAGACAACATTTCACGTAAATCTCTACCAGGCGAAACAGCACTCGCTAGAAAACTAAACGAACTTCAATTGGACGCTGAAAATCTACACATAATAATTTTTTCATTAAGGTTACAATTCAGTCACTTAGCGCAGGGCCGTCAAACTCTATTCCCAGTTAAGACTCGAAGAAAAAGCGGAAAATTAGTTCTTTTCATCGAGTTGTAGCGCTTAGAACCCTACTACTTGGTGCAACTATTCCTTGAGGATTCAGGCTAGATAAGATCTCCACTAATATTATCACAGTTGACTCTAAGCTTATAAACCTCTTCACACTCAACAAGTTGGTCTCGAGAAACAAAAAACGGAAAGAACCTAACCAAAATTTCGTTAGAACTAACCCCACCGACAAAGAACTTAAAAGCATTGCGTTCTTTTCCTTTAACAATCTTGTCAACGACCGTTTTCCGTCTGGTTACTTCAACTTCTCGCCTTGTAGCTTGGCTCGAAGCTGATAATGAAGACCTAAACGGATTGATTTTAGCAGCAGGAAATGTGAACAATGAGAAAGTTCTATGTATGACGTCACATACGAGGGTCCAGCATCTCCCTGTGGCTTTGGCAGAGGGGGTTGAAGTTTACTTCCACCGCTTGGAGATGGCACTGGTGTTGGAGAAGCTAAAGTACTTAATTTTGAAGACATTATGCTTATGTCCTGTTGTGCACTCTTTGACGACCGACTATACTGTTCCGCTATTTATCCTTTTACCATTCCGAAATTCATGTCAGTCTTTCAAGAAGCATGCAGCTAGTCAGCTAGTCATTCAGCCTTCATTGAATCTCGTGTAAAGTGGTATGGAAGAGGAGGGGGCCACATCGCTTTTTTCAAACACTGGACGCTAGAGCGCGGGTGAGACGAGAATACCCGACTTTACTCTTGTGGCTTGTAGACGGTTCTTGGCCATAGGAATACAGATATAGAGCATATGCTTAAAGATCAGATGGGAAAATTAGGGATTACCGCGAGCACGTATCGGAGATTTGGCACGAGAATACAAGTACGTAGAAATACATATTAACTGTCATCTAACCATTGGGAGATCAAATCCACGCTCAAACGCTTCATCTGTTGGCGACTCGCTAAGTGTTTGTCGCCCACAGTAACAATGGTCGACACACAAATTACTAACATTGAAGCTAAGCATATATTGACGTGTGAACAGTATGCATATCAAAGATGCACGAGAAAATTATTCCACCAAAAACAAACAACTTGCCTATCGTTTTATAGGACTGTGAAGAACTAGCCGCAGAATTGCAGCCTTCGTGCAAAGTAACTGGGGATGGGGAAGGTTGGAGAGGCGTTGATAGAGAAGACGAAGGAACGTGCTGTGACGGGGCCTAAATAAATAAGAGCTAATATAGAATCTGAGGTGAAGAAGCTATCAGGTTATAAAACTCACCTTTCCAAATCCATTCACTTGGACATGAAGAGGTCGTTGGACATCACTGGAGCCCTGATATACGTCCGAGACGGCATCCCTGCTCGGCAAGCCGTTGACTTTCACGTCCGATTGTTGGCCAGTCTTTTGAACTATACGTGGTGAACAAAGAGCGAACACAGAGGAATCTTGTTCTTTCAGAAGCATGCTTGCATTCGTGATTTGAAGCTTATCATGTTCCATCACAGTATTTGCAAAAGCTTCGAGAAAGTCTGGCTTTAATCCCATAAGATAGTGACTTTTGTGTGGAAATGTTACTCCATCGACACATTCTACAGGGACATCACCATGAACGCATACCACTGGAAGTGGATTGAAATCTGAAATAATGGGCTCGAAACTGAAGGAACAAGTTAATGCGAAACATAACGCGTCGACGATAAACCAGCAAAAGGCAATAGATAGCAAAGATGAATTTTTCGGAAAATCAGAAAGACATGCAACATTATCGGGCATATCTGGGCTACGAGACACGCAATATTCAATATAGAGAACTTGGCACGGAGCCAAAGACTGTTTACATTTCGCCTACTCATTCGACCACATTTTCTGCTCTAATAACTCACTAAAATCACTGTTATTATCGAACACCAAGTATTTAACATGAGGTCCTCGCGACGGAGAATTACACGACATTCAGAAAAAACATTTGTACTAAAGAATATAGTCAAAATACTGAAAACCACACCAGTTGACAGACCTCCTCTGTACCAAATAGAATGACACTATGGCATTTGAGTTCATAGATGAGTACCGGATAAAAGCATGTTTTTTTTGGAGGGGAAACGGCTGTATCACAAAGAGGAGATTCAACTATGCGAATGCTAGTTTCATAAGAGATAGTTGGGACATACACTTCACTTCTCCTCAAGTATATCAGCTATATTTACGTGAGGACGGAGCTAATATCGAAAATAGTAAATGCGCCCATTGACTGCTAGTTTGGTTTCCCGCAGAAATCAATACGCGCTTTTTTTAAGAGTACGCAATCTCACTACGCAGGCTATCTGATCAATTCTGAACTACGATACATTAGAAAGTAAGTGAAACCTATTACTCACCTTTACACAGTCAGCACATTGAACTAAAATATTTTCCCACCAGTAGACGAATTTCGGAGCTAAAAACGATTTTCGAAACACAGCTCAGGGGTATGTGTTTTACTGTGGTTATAGGGCTGTAGCAGATTCGTAGGCAACGTTCCTATACCATGGTCTGTGAGTCGGAACATCAGAAAGTTCATATGCACTTTAAGCGGGAATGACGAAATAGGAGTAGTCGAATTCCGTCCCATATTCATAAAAGGACGATACTTTATTCTATGGGAATGTTCCTTAAGTATTACACTACAAATGGAAGGGGACATAGGGGATCTACGACGTCGCCCGAACCCCTGACAGGTAGATCCCCGCCTGCGGTCCCGACGGCGTCGCATTTCGAAGTGGCCATCGCGCGCGGATGCGGCGCGTTGCAGGCCACCGCCAAAAGAAGTGGTGTGGTCCTGCGTGGATTGCTTGCATGGCATATTTTGCGCGAATATAGCACGATTCAAATACAGAGTAATTTTCGAAATGTACATCGGGGTTAATGTGCTTCAGTTTTTTTGTAGATTGATTTCGTGGGTGATCGTTTTGCTTATCTTAACCTTGCCAACTTGTAGTTATTGCTCACTCCAAGTTCTTGTCTGAATTCAATGTCAATATGCTGGGCACATGCGTGCGTAAGGATTTCTCTCTTAGTAAAGCGGGTGCGGTGTCAACCATCGAGTTTTGTTGAGTTGTGTTTCACCCGATTTGTTTCGAGTTTTTATGGGCGAGAAGTGGACTGTACTGGTGTTTTTGCTCGTTGTAGCTTTTCATGCTGACCCTTTGATTCTCTATTGTATACTGTCTTCCTTCTTCGAGTTTACTTCTCTTATAAAAAACTGCGTCTCGAATTATTTATTCAAACAAAAATAGTTTCAACCGGCAATCATGTAACTTGCCTAGGATCCTCCAAATTCCTCTATTTTTAGCATCGTTGGCTGGTAATCTCTCATTCTATCTGCTTGAATGCTTTCAACTTTCTTAAGTCTGTAGTCCGAAAAGCAAAGCGGTTCTGACCGAATCAGCAATTGGGTATCTCTTGTGATAATGTCAGAAGACTGGTTTTCAAGGAGGGGTAGAGGAATCCTGAGTAGGGTATCCTAACGAAATGGAAATTCTACAGCTGGGTGAATGATGCGAGTTAATATCACGCTTTAGTTTTGGGTAGAGTTGGCAATGAATCTCAGCCGAAAGCACTCAGCTCTCTTTCTGGATGAAATGTAAACTCGTTATGTGCACACCGAAAGGCGCAGTGTTGAGAGGTTCATAGATTAAACGTTTCTTGATTGATTCACGGAGATATCGGCCTTTTCCACGTGCAATTGCTCTGGATAGACAATAATAACAGAATCCATGGCTTCATATAATAAAAGCAGTGTATTCAGCTGCTGAGAAAGAACGGCTTCATACCGTGGAGTTTAGGAGTGGGCTCAGCGACTATCTAAAGTAAACCTTCTGATATATCGCTGCATTGTCCTGAGCTCTCTTATAAAATGCTTCGGTAATATAATGGATTGTATACGTCACGAGCTAGAACTCTGTTCTCATTTCTCTGTATCTTCTTTTTTTGTGTAGCTCACTTTTTACAAGTGGGTTTGTACAGACGTTTGCAGATGGTGAGAATGGAGCAAGATAATATTTTAACAGCATCCGGCAGTCGATTCGTCACGAATGCTTTAGACGCTGTTCGGGTTCGATTTGGTGAGAGTTATTGATTCCTGGGTCTGATGGATTTTATTTTCACGTTCTTATCGAAAAGGCAACGTTGGTAGTGGCGTAAGAATAGCCCTTTACGCACTGAATTTCAGTATCTAACTGGGAATCAAAGGCCGATGTAGAGAGCTTTGCTCCAGAGTTCGCCCACCAGCATTTTGGTGAAAAGTAAGCGTTCTGTTCGTGCTAATGAGTACAAGTCATTTACAGTTCTAAATTAGGGAAACCATCTATGGATATGATGACTTACATATCTTTTTGGATTACACCGATGCATCGATGTTTCTATATCCCGAAATATCTTTTTCTACTACTGTATCTGCTGTTGAAAAGGACATGAAGGTATGGTCAATTGTGCCGTAACAAGTAATGTAGTTAGTACTGAGGAGTTGTCTATGTATTCCTGTCTATGTATACTGTATGTATATGTATGTGCTTAGAAAATCTGAAGTTTTTTCAAGGAGGACGACATTTTGGCTAAAATCAAAGATCAACTTCCCAGCGATCAGATGAATATGATGGTTGAAACAAATGATGCATTTCGAGTGCTACTGTCGAAGCAAAAGAATTTCAAACCATTCGGGGAACTGATTTCGAAGTTAAACATTGGTGAGCGCTTACACTCTTTTTAAGGTTAATGAAGAACGACAAGAGCTCTTCTCGAAAATCATTTTATTTTTTGTTTTTCTTAGTTGTCTAAAGATCTTTAGTGAGTTTCAGAGATGATACCGAAGTGTCATGTTTTGCAACAAAATTCTCTGTCACATTCTATGGAAATTTTCAAACTTATTAGTATTTCAGAAGACAAATGCTTCGAACTGCACAAAGTCTCAGAAAGTTCTCCTGATTTTGACGCCTACCTAGCACGGGTACAGTCACTTGCTTTGTGGTATATCGATGCTGCTCAGTATACAGACAATAGCGATCCCTTATGGTTTCATTATTTCTTGTGGGTTTTCATGAATTGCTTAATTTTAAATGGAGAACGAGAACCTTTTGCTGCTTCCTAAAGTTCGTTCAACGTGTTTTCTCGGTTTCTGTCGTCAAGTCGGGAAGCGTGTAGGCATTAGCGTGAACACATTACATACACAAAACGCTTTGTATAGTTATTTCTTAGAAAAGTTTTTTGTGAATCTGCCCGAAAAACTATTTACTTATTGTATCGAATCAATGTCTTTAGTGCGTTAAAGGTGGTTTACAGATTTGAGTCGCGACCTCATGATTCGGGAGACGGGTCTCGAGCGTATTCTCTCGCTGGATATGCTTCCTTGTATAGATTCTATGCATATCCAGACAAAGTAAGGCCACGCATAGCACAAATCATGCTTCTGCCTCCCTACAGGTATGCATTCGATCAGTTTAAGCCTTTTCTAACGTTGTTGAGCCTAGAAAAGTCATTTTATACTATATGGCATTGCAATAATGCCCTAATTACTTCCATTAGTATATCCTTCAATAAATAACTATTCAGGAAAAGTGGGCTCGGTGCCAAGTTGCTAAATGCTATCTACAAGGATCTGGGCTCGATGAAGGAAGTTTTGGACGTAACGGGTATGTAGTAGGGAGTTAACTTCGTTTCTTGTTGAACTTGATAGATGGCAATGCTATGAACGGTTCAGCTGAGGATCCTGCGGACAACTTCGTTCTCCTGCGAGATTATGTCGATTGCATTAACTGCTCAAAACTTCCCGAGTTTGCGCCGGACAAGCTCAGAAAAGGATTTACTGAGGACATGCGAATTGCCGCACTGAGCAAATTGAAAATAACGAAGGTGTGTCTTTTTTATTGTTCAGTGCTTGACTAGTCTCGGATAACACTGTTATCTTTAAGCGTCAGTCGCGTCGAGTATATGAAATTTTACGGCTCAGAAGTACAAATATGAAGGACGCTGCTGAAGCGAAAGCATACCGGTTGGACGTTAAACGAAGGTTAGTTAAGACTCAAACAGCCTCGTTTTCCGCTGTCACAGCGAACACCACTACATCTTTTTTTTACAGACTCGAAGCTCCCATGAAGAGAAATGAACGAGACTGGAAGAAGATTCAACGCGCTCTCGACGACAAAGAGTATGCTCAGGTAACTGTTTTCTATGATATACTTTGGAACTTGAAAGATTTCTTTTAAACTTATTATGAACGCTAAAGTTTGCTCTGTGTTGAGGTTAACATAACGCCTTCGGGGCATATCGATTGGGCACATATTGTCATTTGGTGATTTGCAGTGTGTGCTGTACAGAATAGATGTGACGACGTCACAGCCAGTGGTGATTTAGCTTGCTAATGTATTAGTGCGAGAAACTGGGAATTTGCCTCTCCTTTGTCATTCTAATGAAATTCTTTTTCCGTTCATCCCGTATAGCTCCTCCAGGCATAAGCGCCGAAATGTAATGAGATCAATTTTTGAGCCTACATCCTCTGTAGTTGAAGTTGTTCAGCTTCGAATTGCTTCATTCTTTTCTGCTCCATACCTTTTTCACCTGTCAAGCTTGCAATGCTAGAAAGATTGATTGGGTTGCTAGACTGCAGGATGAAAAAAAGGCTCCTCGCCTTTTTTTATAAATAGTTACTCAAAATAGATGCTAGACGTGCTTGGAAATTCTGAAGAATGGAGGAAAAGATGTTATTTGTGATATAAGTTATAGCCGGTTACTGGTAATCTTCCACTGATTGACTTGACTAGCGCAATCCTATCGTGAAGAATTTGCGTTTTTATATTTTGGAGATCTTCGGGTAACCTTTCCACTAGTCTCTGTGTTTCATGAATGCGCAGGGAAAAGAAGCTGCCCAACGGAATCATCAGGGATTGGACTATGTTTTTATCTCCAGTTGATGGTCTTTCAGGTGGCAGCTTCATATGTTAATGCTGACCAGAAAATGCAACAACTTCAGCAGCTTTATGACGAAGAAGTGGAGGCATATAAGCTAACGATTCAGAGAATGGCTGTTCACCCTAATATTTAATTTTTTTTAAAACATTTTAAACATTGTATTTCTTGTTTTCATGTTTCCGTTGATCTCCTGGTGAATAATATCTTCACGATTTTTAAGCATGACTTGTATGTCATCGTTTTAGTTTCGTGAAGTTTATAATAAAGTCTATTTTCCTTCGTTTTTGATGGAATGACTGTATAAATCGGTATTATCTCTGTTCTTCTTGTTCATTCCTACAAATGCCAGAGCAAATAGGAAAAGGGCTTAGCGTGAAAGAATCCGCAGATCATGTTTCAGAGAGGAATGGATGAGTTCTCGTTTCCTTTTCCTCCTTACAATATTCAGCTTGATCTTATGAGAGAAATAAAACAGTGCATTGAGAAGCAGCAGGTGCGCATACATTTCAATGTCGGTGTATAGATTGTTGAATGAAAACTGGTTTTCAAGGTTGGCATTTTCGAATCTCCTACAGGAACGGGTAAATCGCTGAGTGTGCTATGTGCAACCCTGACATGGCTAGAGGAGTTTGAGAAGAAGTCCGAAGAAGAATTGCTTCAGAAATCGCGCCTCACTGAAGAGGTCAGCGATGATGGAGGTTCTGTTCATTTAGGATGCTTCTAATGGTGTTCTTGGTCTCTTCACAGAGTAATCTATAGGATTGGCGCAAATTTATTGCCAGCCAGGATGCTATACGTCCATGCAAGGGTTTCGCTCGGTTGGGCGGCACTATGTCAAGCTTTTATTTACGACCAGCTTCTAGGTGAAACCGGTCTCGGCTTTCAAATCGCGAAAATCAGTCGAATTTCGGAAAGTGAAGGGGAATAGTGGACCAATTTTCTATATCTTTTTTTGCTTATGCCCCGATGGCTTGCACAAGCAGCGGCTTGACTGCGACCTCTCTGTTAGACGTAAGAGGGCTGTACATTTACGCGCACTCTCCTCTACTTATGGTCCTAATCGCGTCTGATGTAATATTGTAGGTTTGGTGGTTTTTCATGATGGATATTGACCTTGCACCAAGGAATAGTTAGAAAGGGAGGATACTACGAAGTAGAGGTAGCGACCAAGCGTATAAATATCCTGTTTCAGGAATGAATTCAAGATGAAATTTGACTGTAGTCTGAATTGAGTAGATTGAAAGTTTTAGACTGGATTGCGGCTCACAAGAAAAAATTGGAAGTAATGAAGATCAAAGACGATGCTTATGACAAACTGCAAGCTTTGGAGAAGGTCAAGGAGAAATTGTATCAAGCAAGGGCAGGTGTTATAAAGCGGAACCGGAAACGCCGTCTTCGCCCTGATGGCAATGCAGAAGAAATGGAACCGGAAATCGACGCTGTAGAGGTTCGTTTTCTTTTTTTCTGTTAGCAATCCTTACTATTGAATCCATTTGAAGGATTTTTTTTATTGAAAATCGTACTTTGAGGATAACACAGCGCCAGAAGAGTATGTATCTGATGATGAAGCCGAATCAAAACCTGAGGTACCTCTGAAAACTGTCAAAGTGTTTTATGCTTCTCGAACACATTCTCAGTTGGAACAACTAATAGATGAATTAAAGAAGACCAGGTTTGTGGAAACAACCTGCCTACATAAGAGTTGAACTAAAGTCTATGTGTAGAAACTGGATATAAGTTCTCCAAGACAATGTGATATGCAGATTCCAGATTTAAACCTCGTATCGTGACAGCTGCGTCGCGTCAAACATTATGCGCTAACGAAGATGTGACGAAACTCAAGTTCAGTCATCTTATTAATGAAAGGTGTATGGAACTTCGAAAAGGATGTGCTTCAGAAGGCAAAAGAATGAAATTAGACGGTAAAGAGGTAAGATGAAAGATCTTCTCAAGTTAATCGTCTTTGCATTGAACGAGTTATCATATCAGAATACAACATCTGTGAAGAAGACGGCTAGCAAATGCCCTTACTTCAAGAGCGATGCTATCGAAGAGCTCTCAAATGAGATATTGGCTAGCGCTGTTTGCAGAACCAATGAGGTAAACAAGATGACGGATGCTTTTCCTGTTTTCTTTTTTTTTTGCTCCTCTATTTGCAAAAGTTCACTTCTTATTTCGAAAATTTCGATGTATCAAAGAAGGAATAGCAGCAGGCTAAGGTGCGCGGTATCAGGCTTTGAGCTCTTTCTTTGTTGAAGTTCGTGTTTTGTTGAAGTGAAGCTCTGTTCCTCTAACGACTGCGCATTAATTTTTTTTCAAGATTCAGCTCGGCTAGGCTATTTAAGGTAGAGTGGATGATCTACAAATGAAAGGATAGAAGGAAAGGAATAACATCGAACTCTCATCCTAAAGTGCAGATATTCAGGTGGTAGATCGCGGTAATGAGCTGGTTGCATGTCCTTACTTTTCCACCCGACTGTCGCTGCCTCTCTGCCAGCTGGTTTTGCTTCCTTATCAGGTACGACTGTTTTATTCTTTCGTTGAACAGGCGTGAACTTTCAAATACCCTAAAACCATCCGGATTCGAGAGTAAGTTTGTGTAAAGAAGAAGAGGCTGGATAAAGGTCATGCTCATCAATTCCTAGAATTTATTCCCTATCTTAGATGCTCTAAAAATTATGAAAACAGCTGCATCAATTTACGAATTACCCAAAAATTATGATACATTATGTTCCTGAACTTTTCCCTATTGTTCCAATTCATACCTACCAGACGGATCGTAAAATATTTCGGCGAAGTGCTGGTCGGTTAGCGATCGGATCCTGTTTCACATGCTTGCCTATCAGTTTTCTCATATTGAAATGGTCTCTACGGGGACCAATGGAACGATACCATAGGGTTTAGTTCGGCTACCATGAACTGCTTTCTGTCATGTCCTTCCTGCTTTGACATACGCCTTGGAGACCTGGACTCTACGAAAGCAGGATGAGCATGCTGTCAGCGTTACTCAACGCGCTTTGGGAAGGACGATGCTCGGAATTTCCCTATACACGCAAGTGCAGAAGGGAATCCGGAGTTCCGAGCTCCGTCACCGAACGAAGATCAGGGATGCCGTTGATTACGCCAAGAAATCGAAGATCAGGTGGGCTGGACACTTTATGCGATACAGTGATGACCGTTGGACCAGGGCGGTTACTGACTGGATCCCTCGGGACATCAAACGAATTCCAGGAAGGCCGCCAACGAGATGGTCGGGTTCTTCACGAAAGCTCTGAACGAAAGGAATGTTGAACCTCGTGTCCCTGAAGCGAGAACGATTCACTGGACCACTCTGGCTCGTGACAGGGACGAATGGAGACGTTACTGGCGCCCGCTCGAGGAAGTCGATGATCAACGGGACGACAGGTGATACAGGTGATACCATGAACTGCCGTCGAAATTGTTCAATCTTGAGAGGCTCAAAAAGGATTCGTCTTTACCATCGATAGCAATAATTTGTACGCATTCTTGTGTGATACAATGAGCACGCTTTCGTTTTTGGACATCAAGCAAAGGAACTGGTGGCACGGCAACTGCCACAGTATCAGATCTATCCCCAATCGAGTTGTGTTTTAACAGAATGGCTGTCACTTGCCAAAGCTAGGTGACTATTGGATAGTAGGGCAGTAAAATTTGTTACCTGAAGATTTGACTTCTTTTGACCCGTCGTGATCCTTGCCGGTGACGGACGCTCCTCAAATGGATTAAAGGATGTTATTTAAGGATGTGACGTAAAGCTTGTCATTGGTGAAGCAAATCCTTTCAGGTGATTTTACATGCGTCAACACGAGCTGCTTGGGGAATTGATCTGAAAGGAAACGTTCTGGTTCTTGACGAGGCGCACAACGTCTTGGAGACAATAGGTCGGACTTTTCTCCGTAAAACCTAGGAGCAAAGCTATTTTTCGGCTTTTTATAGAAGCTGTGTGTATCCATTTGACCAATATTTAGGTTCCCTATATTCGGCTGAACTGACATCTGTATCCACTACGCTGGCACTGTCTTTGTTACGAGAATATTTGGAGACTTATAAGTATGTATTTAAACTCAATTTTTCGATGTTAACTTGGATTAGAAGGGGCATCCCAACAGCGCATAAAAAATAATGGCGCCTAAGATCCGGTGGGATATCGATGAAAAGCTACAAAACACCAGCTGGCAATAATCCCTTCTGATATAGTTCCTTTTTTCCCTTTTCTGAGTACGGCCCCTGCTACTTTGATGGGCAACCGCGGGTTGTTGAGCGTTCCCTGACTGAATCTGGAGCTCTGACAACAAACCACGATGAGTGATTCTATTGCTTGTGCCAAGAAGTCAAAGATAAGCACAACGGTCATCTGTATATCTCTCCGGCCCTCCCTCTAGTAAGCTCATCCAATTTTTGATCTGAGAATTTTAATGAAGTTATTTTTAGATCTCGACTGAAACCGAAGAACCTTTTGTACATAAAGCAATTATTAGCAGTCGTAACAGCTTTCGACCAGTATCTACGGAACAATTTGAATAGCCCAGAAGAAGTGCTCACAATCCAGGGCCTTGTCATTGCCGTAAGTTTGCTGAATTCTGCAAAATCCTGGTTACAGGCGTTTTTCTTTTTTTTGTTTTCGTTCCACTGTTTTTTGTTCATGAACATTAGAACACCACCCTGTTGTGTTTCAGCTGGGACTCACAGACGTGAATTTCTTCAAACTAGTGCATTATATGGACTGTACAGATATGTGCAGAAAGTTCCACGGGTTCTTTATACGTTCGCAGAAGTCTCGGGTATCCATCTCGCAAAAGCCTTCTACAAAGAGTGGAATCGCCAAGTTACTGGCGTCTAAAGAGTCAGGTAAGGAGCGAGGAACAGAGTCAGTTTAGTTTGTAGGTGGTAGTCTGGTGTGACCAAAGCTTCCTATTATTTTCACTGAGCTCAGGTTTGAGATTCCTCGTAGGCGTAAAAATAGGTGTACATGTTTTCGAACCTACTGTCAGGGTATATTGCTCTGAGTTTTACAGTTCTTGTTTCTAGGAAATACCGATCCTACTCCAGTGACAAGCGATAAGGCTAGATCTCATCCGTCACCGTTGTTCACCATAAAAGCTTTCTTAGAAGCTTTGAGCAACAGATGTGAGGATGGGAGGATTATAGTCGAGAAAAAAGGAGGAGCGGCTAAGTATGCTGATTTATTAACTTGGTTTCATTATACTTTGAAGACGCATTTCTACAGTTTGTCCAAAGTCATGATTTAGGTTCGATTCTGTCCTTGTTTTTACAATATTGTAGCCAAAACATAGTTTCTGCCCATTTAAATCTGCAGAGGGAAACACTATATTCGCTTCCTAATGAGAACCGAATTACTAGGGAACATCTTTGTTATTATTTGTTTATTATTTGCAGCAACAGTTGAAGAAGGCGTAGTCATTTATTTGAGCGAACGCTCGNGGTTTTGAAGAATGTAGAGCTATGCATATAGCTATTCCACGTTTGTAGGAACCAGCTTGTTTCTGCTCAAAAATTTTTTTGCTTTGAGAATGGTATAACATAACCAGTCGCATGATTACATGGTGGAGATCTAAGGGCGTTTTAATCGCTGCGGCGCACTCTTTTCAAAATAATATCTTAATAAATTAAGAAGATTACAACTTTAAGCATACCCAAAATATCCAAATGTCCGATTGGTTGAACTCTTTTGCTCAACAGGCTTTTCGAGTCAGTTTTCATTGTTATTGAGCCTCTTATCCTTCATTGTTGTCTGGAGAGAGGTTAGAAAGGAGAAAGAAAGAAAAAACAGAGTTTCATGTCAATAAATATAAATTGTGATCAATACTCGAGCAATCTGATGAAAATGGTCTAAATTTCCATTTGACAATCTGATTCGGAGAAGAAATCAACCCAATTGGGTACTCAATTCCGTGTCGGCGAGGGTAGACATGAAGATACCTTTCAACTTTGGGAATTTTCAAATTACATATTTTAGATTTCGTTTCATTCTACTAAATCCCGCCTCACGTTTAATGGAAGTTGTCAAGGAGGCACGAGCGACTATTCTCATTGGAGGTACAATGGAACCCGCGGGATTGCTGGTAAATATTTTGTGTTCATTTGTTACATTTGCAATACCGGAAAACTGATTCCTGAAGGAGTAGGTTTATCCCGAAGTTGCACCATTTCCTTGAAACTAGAACTGAAGTAGTCCTAGAGTAGTCTGCTAGAATCTACTTGTCCCATACGTTGGTTTGTTAGTAATATCAAGGGAGAGTCAAGTAGTTCTATACTTTCCATTTCGCTTGTTTGATGGGTTATTGTAATATTCCTTTCAGGTTGATTGCTTGTCGCGTGGTGGAGTTGAAAATGGAATAAGGCGCTTCAGTTGTTCACATGTGATTGACGACCATCAGCTGTTAGCACTCGCCATTGGTCGGTTTCGTTGGACGATTTCATGTTCATGCTTATTGTTTTATTTTTTTCCGTCACACCCATTGTTTACTCAATTTCAGGTCATCATGTACGAAATGAAAAGTTCACCTTGACATTCGAGACCCGTGAAGATCCTCAGTGTGTAAGTCGAAAATATCTTTTCTTCATTTTCTCTCCCTTCTATAACATCTATAAGCTATTATAAGTCGAGTTAGAAGAAAACTTTTTTTCCTAAGTCACTTTATCGAAGAAAAAAAAATTCAGATGAAATCTGTAGCGGAAGCTCTGATGATGCTCATGCGCGACGTTCCAAATGGTTGTGTTGTATTCTTCACGAGTTACGAGTACATGGCACAATTCATGTCAACGATGGAGAAGTTCAAAGTTGTAAATCAGTACAATGTGAGTCAAAATTATTTGTTTTTTTTTGTTTTAAGGTAGCGACAGAAGAAAGCTCGTTTTATTTTTCGACAATCTCCCTTCTCGATGAACTAAGTCTGTCTCTTGTTTGATTCGTTTCGCTTTCGTCAATAGTTCATAGAAATTGTGATTTCAGATGAGAAAAACTGTTTTTATCGAACCTCGCGGAGCATCTGTAGACATATGGGATCGATTCGCTACCGCTGCTCGTGCTGGGCAAGGTGCAGTATTGTTTGCTGTCGCAGGCGGAAAACTTAGTGAAGGTCGGTAAGACATAGAGGAATCAGCGTTTGTTTACTCTGGATGACCATTCTTGTGGTATCTACCTAACAATAGCTTCAAACACTATTTCTTTGTTTACTTAATTGATCTTTGTTAATCACAGAAACGAGAAAACATAGAATAATCGTCCAGAGTTATGCCATCAATTAATTTATGATCTTTGATCTTATTTGGGAACCTTTTGTTTTTCCCTGTTCCCTGGCGACTAGCCAAGCAAGTAGTGCAATGAATAAGTTAGTAGGGTCAAATCTGCCGTCTTGATAGTGTCGCACTTAACTAAGAAAGGGGTTTATGGAAGAAAAGATCTGGAAGGAAAATTGGTTTGTTGAGCAAGTATCCCTGCATTCCCTGTAGAACAGGTAACATATTCCTGTAAAGGCCTTTCTTAGTTTATGTCACTTATTATTGAAGTCGACATCGGAGGGTGCCAAGAATCGCGAAGCTAGAGGCGATTGAGGGCCGCATTCAATGAAGCAAAGCCATCCATTTCATCGGCTAGGTGAACTGGCATCATTGTTCAATGAATCCATTAGATTTGTTGAAACAACTGGACATTTTATTACAGATGCACAGCTGTAATGAATGGTAGCGACGCCCTGCTAGTACAAACCTTCATAGGCTACTTTCAGAGTTCGACGACCGTCCGTCCGTCCGTCCGTCCGTCCGTNCCGCCGTCGCAGCACGCGCTGAACGGACGGACGGACGGACGGACGGATGAATCGTTGAGGTCTGAAAGCAGCCATACTCAACATCGTTTATTTTTTCCAGGAATCAATTTTTGTGATGAACTGGGACGAGCAGTGTTTATGGTCGGGCTACCGTATCCTAACAAGAATAGCATTGAACTCAAAGAAAAAATGAAGGTCTGCGAACTTGTTCCCAAAATTTGTAGTCTTGTAGGGAAGAAGTGATTACTAGATATCTCCGGGTGGTGAGTGAGAACCAAGCTATGCCGATTATTTTGACTTTCTCAAGAAAATTTACTGGGTGCATTCATAACAGATGAATGATGAGACACAGTCTGTACCGAAACCAAAAGTGATTTATTCGCAATTTGGTCTGCTTGCTTTGTGACCTACCCTACATTTGAAAGAATTCTTTACAATTTAGTATCTGGATTCTCAAGTACCAGGTGGCGGAAACCAGTTGTATCAATCATTATGTATGCATGTGATCAACCAGGCCATTGGACGTGCCATAAGACATCGAAAGGACTATGCCGTAGTGTACCTGATGGACTCTCGGTAAGAAATTGTGCGGTGATCATTTCTTTGGTATGGATATCGATCGCTTCCGCAACACCATATTTCATACAGTTTTAAATCGAACAGTGGGTGAGCCTTGCTGAGAAGGGATAAAATGATTTTCTTTATAGAAAAGTAGGTGTTGAACTGTTATTCCAGGTACCAGCACAATGATGTAATCAACAAACTACCCGGATGGATTTCTCAAAGATTGAAATGTCCAACCTCGTTTTCCGAAACTGTTACATTGACAAAAGCCTTCTTCCAACAGAAAAGAAGTTTCTGAGCAAAAGCAGTGATCGAGAGTTTTCAATCTTCTGATCACTGCCGTAATCTCACGTAAGCTGTTCGCTTGGTTTTTTGCGCTCTCGCATAGAATTACGTGTATGTGCCCTCTTATCATCCCAATTCATTACCTCCATTTTTGCTTAAGTACGACCTCTTGAGCGTTTTTTCCTCATCGTGAAGTTAAGGATTGCCTGGAATAAGCAAGAGCTTATAGTAGGAATATTAATGCAAATACCATGTGCCCTTGCATAATAGACGCGAATTCACGGAATTTTCACTGGAAAGTGTGCACGCACACTTTGCATAAAAACAACTTTGACAGTGACGTCACTCACTCCTCGGTAGCCCTCGCCCACTGTACAGAGGAGCCGGTGGAGGTCCTGCCCTTCCGGTGACTCCTAACTTTATCACTGATTCTTATTGAGAGATTAGACATATTTCGACCGTCATGAAGTGCCGCGTCATGAGGAATCTCGTACAAACCTAGACCTCTTGGACCTGCCTCACTGGGTAGACCTAACAGAACTAACATTTGTACGAGATCCCTCATGATGCGGGTCGGTCGATTTTTTTGGTCCTTCCATACATTTCCCATTGTCTTCATTCTGCAGACTTTCTCATGAGAGCCCCCTCCGTTCCACTGCCTATTTCCTAACCACACTCATCAATGTGGTGTAAGAAAATTGATACCTGACATTAATCAACTGTCTGTGAAAGACCAGGTGGCAAATGGCTGACCTCATCAATTTTCGCGTCAAAAAACGGCGACGGGTTTTTTTTNTTTTTTTTCGTATGAGATTACAGCCGTTTTCGAAACCGGTGGCCACCTTGGATTTTTGAAACATCAATCCTTGATTGATTCACTGGCCCTTCTCACTAGTCGAAGTATAGTGAAGAGGAATTTCTGAGTTGTACTAGGTAACTCACTTATCCAGCTCACACTGTGATCTACAGTACATGTTGTGTGTACAGTTCATTTTACTCTTCTCTGTTGACGATCTTTTCAATTTGTTATTTGTTTTCACTTTTATCATCAATTTTTTCAACACATGACATCATAGAATAAATTTAATATCAAGTCTATACAGAATAAACAAAATACCGAAAAATTAAATAATTCAGCAAATTGCTTCTTGCATTCTACAAGATTCCTAAACTTTTTGAACCATTTGTAGTTCAATGGAAAGAAGCGACCAGAAACAAAGATGAAAGCTGCCGAAAAACTTACTCTTTCTTCTGCACAGTTTCACATTTCTCCTGCTATCACCCTCAATCTCAAAAAGAACTGATTCGAAAGCATTCGGGACTTAATTTAATCAACGAATCCATCACCAGGAGAAATGCGCCACTCCAAAGGCTTAATTCACATTTCCCTTATATCACATACATGCTACAAAGTAATCCAGGGATCAACCATTTCGAAGGTACCATCCCAACATAGAAACATCAATAACTAATCACAATCAGGCAAGGCGATGTCCATAATATCTCTCGCAGTTGGAAAATTCAAAAACCAGTCATGAAAGGATGAGATCGGACACAACTTCTTCACACATCGACTTGCCTGCCCTATTCTTTGGATCATTTCGAGTGTAATACTATGAAGTATCACGAATCAAACGCAGTGCATTTGAGAAATATGAGGTGCGATTCGAAAAAAATGTTCGGTACCAAATGTCGTTAGGTGTTGAGAGAGGGAGAGGGTACGAGATACAGAACGATTAGAGACTCGACAACAACAACAACAATGAATGAATCACTAGAGCGCGACACTCCAATGTGCGCCCCCTTATATCACAGAACAATACATTTAGAGTAATAACATAGCAGTTTTTCGTAAAATTCGAGGCAAGGCGTCGAGCAGTTCGACAGAATACCTTGCCATTGATGTATACCCCTACCGTAGCGCTATGATTACTCGTACAGGGGAATTCATACTCTAACAACGCCCATTTTCAGGCATTCGTTGTGAGACTTATCTCTGCCAACAAAAATACAGTACGAGATGGACCCATGTACAAAGATGAGATTGAGTTACAGTTATTCAACAATGAGATGAAAGCAGATGATAATTGATGGTGTTCTCACTCCGGATAATCCCCATGGAATTCCTCGGCGCTACGATAGCACGCATCGACAACAGCTGCCACGTTTCCGCTTCGACAATGAATCTGAACAATATGAATGTTTTCGAGTATATGTTTACCGATTACTTAGAACCTAAGCATATGTTGCAGTATTACTGGCAACCTAACAACACCCCACCTAATCCATATGTCATAATTTTGCAAAAGAATGTCATGACAAATGGTTACGATGAATTGAATTGTTACGGATTTACTCGTGTCTGTCACAATGGGCCATAAGCAGGGCGATAACGGTGTGGGAAGAGGATGACACTTTAGGGAAACGATTTCAACAACTATCAAGCAACCCTTCTGCCACTGCCGCGTGACGGTGGAGATAAAAATTGATAAAGGATTAGGCATAGCCGAGTGAAGGATCAGCAGCGGCCAAGAGTCACGAAGCCTTGCCCACTCCACCTCATGAAGAGAATTAAGACTTAGACTAATGTAATACACTAGCCAGAATTGTGTCATTTTCGCAGAAGACGCTTATCTCCAGTCCCTGGAAAGGATAAAATCGAATAGGCTAAAGCGGCATAATGTCTGAACTTTGTCTTCATCTTCACCCAGCTTTGCAAGATCCTCTCCATCAATTTTCTGCTTCATCGTCGCTTGTCTAGACATTTCAGAAAACAGATCGCTTGAGAGTTCACGCCGTTGAAATGACACTCACTTGGGGCGCTATTCCCCTAACCACAATGGGCGTTCTGCTCAACATGGACACAGAGACAGGGGTGACTATCTAGTAAGAATTCACCTTCTTACCACAGTCTTCTTACTGCAACGTATCACACCGACAACTAACACCTCTGGTTTCACGGTTTTTCCCTGGAGAACTGTTAGGGTAGAGAAATCAATGCAAACACTCAAGTTCTTGCTCATGGTGCAGGCAAAGACACTGCCATGATAATTCGCTAGCAGATATGTCACTCTTACGTGCCTTGGATTTGACCGAATTATATAAAATGCACTCAAGAGGAAGTATAAAAGCCCCGATGGGATATTCTCAGGCCCTCAATCGTTGCTTAGGCACAGGCGCAGTCCGACGGGTTAACATCGATCAAAGCATTAGTTATGCTTTTATACTACTGCATTGGCTCACACGACTAAGTCTTTCCCATGACTCCCTTTCGAAAAACGTACGGCGATTGCTCAGCAATCTAAGTCACAGAGAACGAATAGTAATGAACACCTCCTCCCCTCAAGACGTTTGCTGTTTTCACTTCATCCCCATTATAGAAATTGTCGGCTTTGGCTTTTGCTTGTTTGTGCTGAGTGAAAGCCCCTTCGCGTCTCTACGCCTGATGTCAATCAATGAAAACGTCACATACACACCCTTACCCACATATACACGCACACGAAACAAACCAACCGTTTGAATTGGGTTCGGGAAGATTTTCCCGTGTCACCAAGTGCATCACAGTCGTTTTTCCTTGCGGAAGATTTAATGCGTTCAGGGTAACGGAGCCATGCAAAAATCGTCCATGATAAATGAGTTTGAGCATCGAAGCCGATTCCACTTTCTCTTCAGCCCACTCTGAAATACTTGTACTAAGACTAGAATATTCGAAAGAACAAAAAACTACAGCAAACGGCTTCTCAAACCGAGGAATAGACAGGTAGCTCAACATCTAGTGAAAAAATGAAGCCTGACCGCATTATTACAGAAATAATTCTCGATGAATATCATTATTTTCATAAAAAGATGGATTTTAAGAACAGTAATTCAATGAGGCTTCAATTTTAAGCCACAAGAGACATTTAATCTCAAAATCTCCCTTCTATACCGTCCCCTCAAAGAACCAAGGAGATTATATAGTGTTTACTGCGCCTTCTCTCATAATTGGCGTGTAACCCCGTATACTGAAGAAATGACGTAAAATTAAATGAATCAATAGCTAACTGTCCACACCACACCGGAGTATCCGTCAACTTCAATCACTTTCGTTTTTGTTCAAATTCCATTTCCACTTTTCAGTGCAACAAATCATTTCCACCGTTTCTGATCCAGTTTTTCAACAACTTTTCTGCATTTCTCACAAAGTTACGATCATTTGAAGGGATGGGAAAACCAAAAGCGTACGCGATACGCCGTTGTCATGAATTAATGCAAAAAGTAAATGTCCTCACAATGTCTCGCCTTGTCACTATGTCCACACTTCTCGTGAAGGGGGTCAACTCAGAAAAACAAAGCCTACTCGTCGTTGTTCACAGCCACATTAGGCATCGCTCTGAGTCTCCTACCCTGACATTTATCTTCTCCCCAGCCACTTCGAAACCATGACTACTAAAGAGCTCATCATACCCGCAATGAAGAATTTCGCATCCCATATTCACGAAAATCACAATCCAGTTGACATGCAGCAATGTAATTCTTAACAAAACGAATTCTGTCCAAATTACTTGTGCGGAACTTCAATACTTATTCGATCAAGTAAGACAATAAAGTAATTTGGTATGACAGCGAGCAGATTTCATGGAATTGCGAGGGATAAAAGGACATGTATGTGAAGGGTTCATGAGACAGAAAAATGCAACTTCTCAAAGCACTCTTGAAAAAAAGAAATCAGTTTAAAGAAAGTCGAATTTCTATTCAAACAAATGATGGGAATAATGAACGCACTTTTGCCTATCTGCCTTGCCACTGGAGCCGATTCAGCAGCCCTTTCTTCACATCTCTCTCGAAGTACGAGTTCACACGGGACACTATTACCAGTTGTTGATCATTATTTCACTAGCAAAGTCGTCTGCTGTTTTATGAGGGCATTTACTACTTAACCACCCTCAAGTCAAAATTTCAAATGAATTCTCTACGCAGCACAACTAAAGTCAAACCATCCGCTAGGGACACACCACTCACTTCTGTTAAGGAACAATTGGTATGACCCAAGCAAATTATGGAAATGTGGACACAAACCTATCAACAATGGATTGCTGTCTTTGGAATGCAGTACCTACACGACATCTGCTTACAGTCACGAAACCATTAAAAGGATTTCTTCTCGCAAGTTTTTCTAGACCAGCAGCTGATTAGCATTTCTTTCACAGATGTCCGCAATTATGTGACCCCGGATGGGAGAAAGCTTCAGGGATTCATATGAGCCTGACAATGAGACCGAAGCTTCAATAGCACCTGGAGTTTTGAAGGAGAGTATACATTGAGTTCTGATACAGGATCTTACCAAGAACCCGAAATAATCATTTTCCACTCTCGTGATTTATTGATTCGGGTAATAGTGCGCTGCCTTGAATGACAACTAATTCAATCGACAATTCACTCACCACTGCACTTTTTNTTTTTATCACTTCCTGATTCATGCTAATCACTAACTTTCACTTCTACGCACGAGAGCCTCTGTTCTACGACACGTCATATGAACAGCGGAGAATAGCCGACTAGTGACTTATTGCGCTGCTTTTGGGGGCAGTAAAATTCGGAACCCTCACTACAAAAGCTCAATTAACTCGAACAATAGAGATTTGTATATTGGTGTAAATTATGTATATCCTACAATAGTTAGCGATCTGTACTTAGGTCAGCACAGATGTGAAATCGAATAACGAAACACCTCATAATGAGTAAACAATAACAGCAAACAAAAAAACATTTCTCGAAAAAACCACGAAACACTTGAAAACTGTAGAAACCATAACTTGTGCATATCTGGAACCCGGTTGAGAGTTCCTAACAGAACAGAAGGTATGAGGCGAATGCTTAATGAAAAACCAACAAAAGCGATATTATAAGGTCCCAAACCATCAATTACTGTCTCCCTGTCTTCAAAAATTCGATGCTATGTACATAGGAGAGTGCAGAGTGCCAAGAAACAGCTGACAAAGAGTCATTCGATACTTTGAAGACATTGTCAGCACTTTCTTGCATAGGCGCTGACACCTCCGCTTTTTGCAGTCGCGGCAGCCTTTGCATTGAGAGCTCTGCAGCCTTGTTATAGCACTTATACAGCGCTTCCCTCCACCCAAACACCTCATATCGTCTAGTCCGTGATCTAAGAACGTTTTCTAAGCTAAACAAGTATTTCTGGCAGCTGGTTGGCCTAAGGGGTATCGGTGCAAGTTTTACTTCTCACAATCAGACCACACGTCTGCCGCTAATTTGCACTACTCCTTTTTCGCTTACAGCGATTCAAAGGAAAAAGTCAAATCAAATCATAATTCAGGATTGGTTAAGGAATTCTATGAAATCCAATAACCTTACAACCAACAAATTGACACAAGTGAGCTCGATTAGCTAAACAATGAATACAGTTTTTCAGTGCAACCCTGTTTAGAAGAGATATCTGCGCTATTTCAGAGGATGTAATTCGATTTTATAGGTTAATAATTAAAGATCGATAATAGCTATATAACTGCATTGAATAATGACCATAATTTTTAAATTTGAATGATTTCGTCATGAGATTTCCATAGCTTATAGGATCTCAGCCTGTTCTACAACCACTTGGCTGCAAATCGACAAATTGAGGCACGTAAACCAGAAAAAACGCTTCATGCGTAACAAGTGCGCTACTTATGTAAACGTATCTAATCTACGTGTTCTTTCACTACTACATTCAAATTGCAAGCAATTTCCAATGCAAAGAACAGAGCATTAGCTCAGAGCTACTGGTTTCTCGAAGGAAATACGCTTCGTAGCACTAGATTGAGCGTGCGGAAAACACAGAACACAATTGACTGGGACTAGTTTAGCATAAGTAGGTTATAAACGCTTAATTTTATGGACTAATTCACATGATTAAGAGTATGTCCATAACAAAGTACATGCAACTGTCTAGGTTATATGTAATTCGATGACATTTCCTGGAACGCTGTTTGATTTTTCTCTGAATTCAGTCATTAGCTAGCCATTCGACATCCGAAATACATTGCTAACAGAATTTCACAGAAGGGAAGTCTACCATGCAAAAAGCAACATTTCCTCTCAGCATTGTGGCTTTCACCAGAACATCATCTTAACATGGTGGTGCGGGACAGAATAAATCCAATATTCATATTTTGATCATATGGTGAAGGTAGAGCAGTGACAAGAGGCACCACCATTCCCAAGTATGGAACACAAATCGATATCGACCGGAACCAGCGGAGCCTCTCACTCCTTTCGAGGTCGCGAAATCCCTACTTAATTCAGCTAGAAAGTGAAAAAGCCTTTGACTGTGAAAGTAGCTCAACTTCACATTTCATTGCTTATGTTCTCAGTCGTTATGCAGGCCAACGAATAGGTAAGATACGTTCCGAAACCAAAGGAAGGAGCTGTTCAAAACCAGGCTTCCAACCTTTTGTAATGCTTTTAAACTGATTGTATCAAACCAGTACATGTTTTACACAATAGCTCAGGTAGCACTAGATCTGCGAAGATATAGAAAATCGAGACACTTTCAAAACCTCTAGCAAAAAGGCTTCTATCTGTTACCAGCTTCTGATTTTTACCAGCTTTTTCATGAGAATAACCACCAGAAACAACAAAACAATGAAAATGCGTCAAATCTTAATATTGCGATTGCAAAACCACCTCCAATTCTCTCGCTTACCCCTTCTTCTTGGCTAAATCATTAATTACTTCCAGAATGGAATGCGGATGCTTTCTTCATTCACATTTGATACAATGCATTACGTATGAGCCTTTAAGGCGCGCTACGGACACTTCAAAAACTAATATCCACTTAAATCAGTAAATCTATCATTCGCAATGAGCGAAAGAAGTAGTCCTTGGAAACACTGCATAGAAATGAGTTCATGTAACCGGTCTAGCAAGGACATTCATCAGTAATAATGCCCAAGATTAGCCGGGAATGATCACGTCTGATGCTTGGGCAGCCAGGCTATTAACGTTGACAAAGGGGTTTTTAGGTGACTCATAAGCATTTTACTCAACACTTAAGAAGAACAACAAAAACAACGATGAGAGGCATAATGAGGGTTAACGAGTTCCAGATAAGACTGAAAAAACCAATTTGTCGAGATCACTTTACCTTTCGGCCATTGTTCGAACACTTTCTGAGTTACTTCATGGGCAGGTGTGAGCGGGTGAAATTGGAATTCATGCGTTCGACCACTCACCAATATCAAACGCAGTGTAACCTGAAAACAAAAAAATCCTTCTGTAAAACATAAAAACGGGAACACCGTATGCATTCAATTATTCGAAATGTCCTATACTAGTGGCGATCATTTAATCCACCTGAATCAACACTTGGCGGCTAGTTTGGCTAAATTTAGAAATTTCAAAGGATTATCTGCGCAGCGGCATAATGGACGACAATTTTAGCAAACATGGACGAAACCTATTTTTATAAGGGGAGGGACCGTGCCCATATATAGTGAGTGTATAAACATCGCCTTTCAAATTCTAATGTTACGTTTAGGCTACTTTCAAACTAAAAAGCAATAACTCAGAAGAACTCAGACTGATTACACATAAGAATTTCAAAACTGCTGAACTTAAAGTTGAACCTCCAGGAAAGGCTATCCCACATTCGAGTAAACAAAAACATTAGGGTTTTCAAGAATTCGCTTCGTTTTGTTTAGAGTCATTTTCACTGTTGATCGCAATTGTTTACTACTAGCCATCGCCACAGATAGCGAATCGAAAGAATCACAAGAACGCTTAATTAAGTGCGACGTTCGAGCTTTGGAACACTTTCTTACCAATCACACTAACGAGCTCCACGTACTTTCCTCACTACAGAGGAGGAAAGACACTACGCCGTGCATTTCTGGAAGGGACTGTGTTGAACTAGCCAGACATGGTATCCATCAGAATTGGTCATTTGAACCTCCGATTTATCATGCTACCTGCTAATTGGTCACCAACCTCTGTACCGCTCTAGATTGAAGAAAAAATTGAATTTCGCCATTTCCCCTTCTTGTCTCGAGACCTTACAGTACGGAGACTTTCTTTGTAAACTTGGAGCGGATTCTCGCCTCGAGAATCGATTTAAGTGGGCCAGTTGCCGGATTACTTTTTCACCCCACTTCAAATGGTTGCCGATAAATACTTTTGTGCTTCGATGGCGACTACTGGCATCAAAAAGTGTCCATCTGACACCCAGACAGATTCATCACAATAGAAAATGAATTCAGGAATGTCTTTAGCTACCACTTAATTTCCATACAAAAAATACTTGTTTGTGGTCAACTACAATATTGGGTACTACATTCCCTGATTTCTCACATAAAAACAATTTCAATTCCGTGTTTACGAGCAAAACAAGGCCTGAAGAAAACAGTTAAAGCCGCTTCTACCGTAACACCATAATTTCGGTATTGAAAAAGAAAATGCACCGTATGTGCCTATAACCATTTCATTCTGAACCCATCAAGATTGCATGGCCACTATTCTGACCGAATGGCTTGGCATCATCCAATTTCATCCAAACGTCTCTTTATGCGATTGTCGCGCCCAATGACTGAACGACTATTGTGCCAGCTACACTTTTTGCATCGTCACACATGTTCCACATATGCAAGTTTGCTTCATACTGGTCCGCGCCACCAAGAAGACCGGTTTTTGTCTCAATGGGCAACCAGTGCAGTAGCGACCATTCATATGAAATGAAAAAAAGAAATGACTATCACTTAATACATATGAAGGGCTTTCCGACTGGTAGACTTCTCCACTTTTTACGACAATTGTATAGCCGGGCAAAAACTTGATTCGCAACTGAAAAGAATGGGAGGTCTATAGAAGAGTCGCCAGGATCTCCTGTTACTATTGATACTCGTTAGCAAGCAGCGGCAAGGTTGAAAACGACTTGAACTGTCATACTGCAGCAACTCAAAAGGGATTCTGGACTGCGAAAAAGCGTACAAAATGAGTAAATAGAGCCAACTGATTTTGCTAATTGCTGGTGATGACGACATGAAATGAACCTATTTATCCCTTGCCTAATAGAACTGACGCATTAGGGATAATTAGAGGGAGCGCTTAGTGACGCTTACTCAGCCGGTCACCTTTGAACGCAGCACTTGACGTCAATGGGAGGCTGAATTACACTCTCAAAGACGGAACCATTTACTGTAGAGTGAGCGGGCAAAGTGTCATCAAGAACGTTACAGTGGAAATCCAGTCCCAAGCACTCAAAACATTAAACGCGTGAATACGGAGAAATTATCTTTAAGCTAGAAATCGTCAACATTGAAATCATCTAATGAGCACAAAGTACGGATTATCTCTAACGAAGAGCTGAATATTATAGTTTTTGTCTGATAAGCAGGGAAAAGTCTGATATACTGTTATTCAAAAAAAAAAATGAAAAGAAAAGTGCCCCAAGCCTCAGATTACCAACTCATACGTTTAGTATTAGTTTTTAGCGCCTAATAATACCCAGCAAACTACATAACATACAAATGAAGCATCAACAGCTCCCTTTTAATAAAAGCTTTTGACGCGGAATTTTTAATGGATGTAAATACGTCATATGTAGATGATGGGGAAGGCCTCTCATTGCATAATCAGCTGGAGGATGTTAAAGGGAATACCAAAGCAAATAAATATGCAAATCGTGCTTCAAACAAAATACATACGTCACATATTATGAGTCAGATTTATTAAATAATGCAATATACTGTGGATTGAGAGCCATTTCAAAGTAACTTCGGGAATAATTTAGCAGTTTAAGCAGGTAAAAAGTTTCAAAGCAAAAAGTTTCTCCAAGGGCTACAAATCTCAACTTCCGCGTAAGAGAAAAAAAAATCAGAAATTCCTCAACGATTTCCTCAGATTCAAATAATGAATGGTATTTTCATGAACTTACAAAAGTAGTTATTCGATTTAATTATTGTAAACAATTTAATCAAAGTTGCTGTTGAATATCAAAAACTAGTGACCGGAACTTTTCACGCTCGGTAATGGACAGATTCTACTTTGTAACCCGATCGTGAATGCAGTAGATGAGACCATACAATTGAAAATAAAGTGAAAACCAATTGTGTGGATTGATATGAACTGGATTACTGCACCAGAACAAATCTCTTCAAACTACGAAAAAGGTCTGTTAATCGGATTTTACTCAGTCAGGTCCTGAGTCTAATAAAAAAACTTGGAAAACCGGAACTTCTCATGCGGAACTAAACCTTTAGGGAAAGAAGCTCGCAAAAAAGCGTTTATAGCTCTTAACCCCGACAGCAAAGTGCAAAGACATTAATAATGCCACCATAAATCTGCCACGATCGAAATGGCCGTAATAGCTAAAAGTGCAGAGTTAAATGCCCTCACACCTTATCTCCAGACGGCTATACAAACCGTATCAATGTCTGACTTTTTCTTTACTACACCAATAAAAGTCTAGTAAAAGAATGCTAATAAGATTAGGCGAATGCAATTCAACTTAATCGATTTCTTAAGTATCTGTTGTCAGGGTATGAATGTGATATTGACATGTTTCTAGGCTTTACCGAATTATACACCCACATGAGGCTGAAGCCTTCAGCTTTTCAAACGAAAGTTGACAGAACTTCGGAAGCCAAGGAATTCATGCTCTTTCAGTCTTAATCGGATATCATACTGATGGTGAGATTAGATTTCAAAGGAGAAGAGGAGAGGGACTCCTTATAAATGTATATCAGTTCGGTATGATTTCAAATATCAAAAACAGAAAAGATATACAAAGTTACACAGCCTGCCGGGTCCCTTTTATAGTACTGACTGCCGAAAGCCAGGGATGGGTGAAAAAAAGGTTTCAGATGGTCGATTAATTGGATAAATGTACGATTATCATTCCTGACTCTCACAAGACAGATGGTCGGTCAATTATGGTATTAAGATGGCCATTATAGATTAGATGTCAACGGTTCAAATTTTCTTTAAGTAACTAGAAGCCTTGGCAGTCGGCTATTATGTTCAATGACCGTAGAAATTTACTGTGAGACCATGACGAATATAATGAAAAGCTGAGTAGATGGCTTATTCTGCCGCATTATTGCAACAATGAGAGTTCCGAACAGCATATGAATGATTCATTATCATACACCGATTTGTTTATGCACGCACTACATGACCTCAGCAGTAAGTCAATAAGAACCCGGATCCGTGCCGACAACAATACACACCCAACCACGCTCCCGTAGACATACGCAACTATCTTCAATAGAGGAAATACTATGCGGATGGGAAACTTACATTTTCCGAGGTCGGTGAAGAGTCCTTGGATCCCTTACTGCTCATCGGCAACGGGATTCACCTGAAAATTACGCATTCATATGGACAACCACGATTTTCATCGACTATCGCGCGAATAATTGCCCTAATTACGAGGTGCGTGGAATATTGATTGGAGCATTGTCTAGTAGGGACAAGCGGGAAATTAAATTGATGACAGCTGTCAGCTCATTATAAACAAAACCAGGATTACTTTTGTAAACTATGAAGCATGAGTTGAAAGGGATACGAGTATTAGGACATGCTCAGTCTTACTTAAGAGACGATGAGTAGTCAAAAACACTTCACCTTTACTTCTCAGAATATTCCTATAGTGTAAACAGGAGCGGTTGCGGAGAACAATAGTCGACAAGGTGTCGATGAATTCTCCGGGCGGAAACGACGAAACGATTGGACGTTGCAGGACTGCACGTACTGTCCGAGTAGTCACACTTTACCCAGTTCACAAGGAATCTTAATGAAGCATCAGGATCAGCTGACTGACGAACAAATGTGTGCAGCGCTCAGCCGACGACGTCGTGGGCAGGCGATCGATTCGCCGTTGTGAGGCGGGGCCTACGACAATCAGACACTCGACAAGACATTGTGCTGAGCAGAGATACGCAGAGTAGCAACCGATCGATAACTATGCTACTAATTGCGTACTCCCACGATGGGTGGGAATTCGATTTCAGACACTCGCGACTGCTCTCATCACCTGTACGCTCGCTCCCACTCTGATTGTGATGGTCACGGTTGACATTTGATAACATCGCACTGTCTTTTTCTTATGTCGGTTCATCTGAAGGCTGTAAATACCAGCCGCTAAGCTTATGCCATTCAGATGACATCATTTTCACAGAGTTCCCCGAATTACGATGGGAAGCGTGGAGTAGCGCTAGCAGATTCGAATCAACCTCTAGGCGACTTCCCTGTTGGCTAAATTGTCAGGCTTTTCTAGAATAATAAACCAGTAATTTTAATAAGAGCAATTCTCTAAACAATTTGAGTGTAGTGGGGACACGACTGTGCATTAACGTGCTCCTCAACAAACTCCTCAACACATATGAACCAATCGGGAGGACGACAAATACGTGGCGCATCCATATTTCACAGAATATCATCTCTAACCTTCGGGTGAAAATGAAGGAAAAAACCTATGACAACAAGATGGCTGACGATTAAAAACAGTAATAACTAGTACTAAATGGCGTACTCATCGGTTTTACTTTCTCACAATTGTATTGCATTACGGCCACTCGTTTAAGTCAGGATCCACAGCTGGATTACTGTGAGAATTGAGTTCCCGTAAGAATAGCATGGAAGCTTTTTGTATCGAAAAACGCTTCGATGAAAGCTCAGCTTGTCCCATCGCAGTAATCAAACCGGTTCCAGTATAATAGTAGCGATTACAACAACATAAAAAGGAAATTGGCACGCGCTCAGATATGTTCTGGGACAGTTTGCCAGAGGAATCTCCTCAGAAACTGGAAACATATATCAACGGAATAAAATGACAGGCGCTCAATGAGGCATGGATAACGGAAGAAGAATGGGCGATCGTTTACATTTGATTGGCTCATTGTTGTTACTTCAAATTACAAGTTATGAGAGCGGCAGGAGAGTTCAGATTCGAGACCTTTTCCGATATAGACCTTCATATTACGCTGGCAAATAAGGTTAAGCAAGCAGCATGTACATTAAACACACAAAGGGCCGTGGCCCACTTTTCGAAAGGGGTGGGCAGAAGCAAGCTACAAACAGGGGTGGGTGGAACAATTGGGTGATAGCTGATGATGAGACGGCATTGAGCAACTTTTCACTAGAACCACTCCAATGCAGCGATCTGGGTTTGTTGGTTGGAATCGAAGCAAAAGCAACTACTATACTCTAGTAAACGGGAAAGGTTGTACGTGTTTGACCCCTGCACAGGCCCCACCTCTAAATGATACACGACGTTTTGATTTTATCCTGCCAGATGGTTTTGGTACCAACCAAGCACATCCTAGGATGAAAGTCCTGGTTGCCCCAGACGGGATCCGATTCAAGGAGTCTGCGCGCATTAGCCCGTTACTTACCAGCCCTCTCCTATAAATTGATATTAAGGAAGTGAATGATGCAACTTCTAAGGTTGTTGTAATCAAACAGTAAACAAGAGACTCCTGTCAAAAAGAGAATCTCCCCACCAACCTTCCCACACAAAACATATCGCGAAGGAGGGACTGAACAGTCTAAACAAAATCTAACAAATAGCACTATTTAGGTACCTGCCTG